GTTGAGCTATAGGCGCCGGGCCAACAGGAAGATTTCTTATGCTAGATGCTTACCTTCAAAAAACAGAAAGTGAGTGCATCAGTACAATTACAAGCCATCTTATGGAATTGGAAAAAGAAGACCAATATAACCCTATGCCCAGCAGAAGAAAAGAAATAGCAAAAATTAAATCAGAGATAAATGGAATTGAAAACAAAAAAATTCAGAAAATTAATGAAACAAAAAGTTGGTTTTTTGAAAAAGTGAATAAAATAGATAAACCTTTGGCTAGACTGACTAGAAACAGAAATGTAAAATCTCTAGTAACTTCAATCAGAAATGATAAAGGGAAAAAAATAACAACAGATGCCACAGAGATACAAGAGATTATCTCTGAATACTGTAAGAAACTCTATGCCAAGAAATTTGACAATATGGAGGAAATGGATCAATACTTGGAATCACACTTTCTCCCAAGACTTAATCAAGAAGAAATAAATCTCCTGAACAGACCAATTTCAAGCACTGAGGTCAAAGAAACAATAAAAAATCTCCCAACAGGCTTGGCACCTGTGGCTCAAGTGGCTAAGGTGCAGCCAAATACACCTGAGCTGGCACATTTGAATCCAGTCCAGGCCCGCCAAACAACAATAACAGCTGCAACCAAAAAATAGTCGGGTATTGTGGCGGGCACCTATAGTCCCAGCTACTTGGGAGGCTGAGGCAAGAGAATCGCTTGAGCCCAGGAGTTGAATGTTGCTATGAGCTGTGATGTCATGGCACTCTACTTAGGGTGACAGCTTGAGGCTCTGTCTCAAAAAAAAGGAAAAAATATCTCCCAACAGCAACAAAAAATGCCCTGGTCTAGATGGCTTCACACCAGAATTCTATCAAAACTTCAAAGAAGAGCTTATACCCATAGTGCAGAAATTCTTCCAAAAATTGAGAAGGAAGGAATCTTCCCTAACACGTTCTATGAAGCAAACATCACTCTGATACCAAAAACCTGGAAAAGATCCAACTAAAAAGGAGAACTACAGACCAATTTCACTAATGAATATAGATGCAAAAATTCTCAACAAAATCCTAGCCAATAGTTTACAGCTTATCACTAAAAAAGTCATACATCACAATCAAGTATGTTTCATCCCAGGGATGCAAGGCTGGTTTAACATACACAAGCCCATAAATGTAATGCATCATATCAACAGAAGCAAAAATAAAGACTATATGACCCTCTCAATAGATGCAGAAAAAAACATTTGGTAAAATTAAACATCTTTTTCTAATTAGAACTCTGAAGAATATAGGCATTGGTGGTACATTTCTTAAACTGATTTGAAGCCACCTATGACAAACCCATAGCTAATATTTTCCTGAATGGAGTAAAACTGAAAGCTTTTCCACTCAGAACTGGAACAAGACATGGTTGTCCACTATTCAACATAGTGCTGGAAGTTCTAGCCAATACAATCAGGCAAGAGAAAGTAATAAAGGGCATCCAAATGGAGGCAGAGGAAGTGGAACTCTCCCTCTTTGGTGATGATATGATCTTATACTTAGAGAACCCCAAAGACTCAACCACAAGACTCCTGGAAGTCATCAAAAAATACAGCAATGTCTCAAGATATAAAATTAATGTCCACAAATCAGTAGCCTTTGTATATGCCTATAACAGCCAAAATGAGAAGCTAATCAAGGACACAGTTCCCTTCTCAGTAGCTAAAAAAAAAAAAGAAAGAAATACCTAGGAATATACTTAACAAAAGATGTGAAAAATCTCTATAAAGAAAACTACAAAACCGGGCGGCACCTGTGGCTCAAAGGAGTAAGGTGCTGACTCCATATGCCAGAGGTGGTGGGTTCAAACCCAGCCCCGGCCAAAAACTGCAAGAAAAAAAGAAAACTACAAAGCCCTAAGAAAAGAAATAGCAGAAGATTTAACAAATGGAAGAATGTACCATGCTCATGGCTGGAAGAATCAAAATTGTTAAAATGTTAAAATGTCTATACTTCCCAAAGCAATCTGCAGATTCAATCCAATCCCCATTAAAATACCAACATCATACTTTCAAAATTTGGAAAAAATAACTCTTTGTTTTATATGTAACCAGAAAAAAACCTATATAAGCCAATTCTTAGTAATAAAAACAAGGCTAGGGGCATTAGCCTACCAGACTTTAGGTTGAGTGATCAAAACAGCATGGTATTGACACAAAAATAGACAGACATGTGGAATTGAAGAGAACACCATGAGATGAAACTAAAATCTTACAATCTTGATCTTTGATAAACCAAACAAGAACATACACTGGGGGAGAGAACCCCTATTCAATAAATGGTGCTGGAAGAACAGGATAAACTACATGTAAAAGACTGAAAGTGGACCCACACCTTTCTCCATTCACTAAAATTGATTCAAGATGCATAATAGATCTAAATATAAGGCATGAATCAATAAAAATTCTTGAAGAAAGTGTGGGGAAGACACTTGAAGATATCAGCCTGGGGAAAGATTTTATGAAGAAGACTTCTTGGCAATTGCAAAAACAAAAAAAATAAACAAATGGAACTTAATTAAACTTAAAAGCTTCTGTACAGCTAAGGAGACAACAACCAAAGCAAATAGACAATCATCAGAATAGGAAAAGATATTTGTATATTATAAATTGGACCAAAACTTGACAACTAGAATCTACAGAGAACTCAAAATTAAGCAACAACAACAAAAAAAGCCAACAATCCCTTATACTGGTATCAATGGGCAAGTGAGATAAATAGAACCTTCTCTAACGAAGACAGAAAAAATGGCTAACAAGCGTACGAAAAATGCTCATAATTCCTAATTATCAGAGAAATGCAAATCAAAACCACTATGAGGTATCACCTAACCCCAGTTAGAATGGCCCACATCTCAAAGCTGCAGATGCTGGCATGGTTGTGGAGAGAAGGGAACACTTTTATACTGTTGGTGGGACTGCAAACTAATACACCCCTTTTTGAAGGAAATATGGAGAACCCTCAAAGAGCTCAAACTAGGCCTCCCATTTCATCCTGCAATCCCATTACTGGGCATATAACAAGAAGAAAAAAGTCATTTATCATAAGAACATTTGCACTAGCCTGTTTATTGCAGCTGAATTTACAATTACCAAATTGTGGAAACAACCTAAATGCCCACCCATCCAGGAATGGATTAACAAGCTGTGGTATATGTATACCATGGAATACTATACAGCCTTTACAGCTTTTGTATTAATTTGGATAGAGTCGAAATATATTCTTCTTAGTAAAGTATCACAAGAATGGAGAAGCAAGAATCCTATGTACTCAATTCTGACATGAGGACAATTGATGCTGGTACATGGTGAGGGGAGGAGGAATGGAGAGGGAAGAGAGGGAAGGTGGGAGGAGGATCTGGGGCCACAGTGTGTGACACATCTTTTGGGGGCAGGACACTATTAACAGAGGGACTTCACCCAGCAAATGCAAGCAGTATAACCTGGCTCAATGCACCCTCAACGATTCCCCAACAATTAAAAAAAAAAAAAGAAAGAAAGAGAGTCTCAGTTGTAAGATTCTTAAGAGAAAGAATGCTTATTTCTTTAGAGTGTGGCTTATGGTGGGTGATGTTCAATAAAGGCTGGATTTAACTTAATTTTTCTTAAGTTTTATTGATTTCATGAAGGTCTTAGTCTAAAATGACTTGGGAGTGCATAGACATATTGGTCTTCCCTGCAGGGGTCAGAGCACAACTTTGTCATATTGAACCTGTGAGAAAGGCCAAATGTCCTAAGTCTGTAGCAGTCAACTGAGAACAGAGAGATTAAAGACCCTTAAAACCACAATTCAACAAACTGCACCCAGGACAGCATCTGACAGTTGGTGTTTGGGGAGAGGCACTGAGATGCACAGACATGAAGAATTCTAAGGATTTGGGACTGAATGAGAAACAGAACAAGACAGGGGGAGCATAGTAATCCTTGCCATCAATCAGGAAACTGCTCAGGAAAAAGAAAGAAATTTGCTCCTTTTTCAAGCTCTGTCTCTCTCCTCCCACCTCTTACTGTGCTGTCAATAATGACCTCTCTGTACTCACCTGGTCCCACAGGGTTTCAGTGATGTTTACTTTTCTGTCCTGTAGAAATAAGAAACAAATCTTGGAAACATCCCAACTATCTCAGAAACTAAATTACAACATCATTAAACTGGTTGAATAAAATATATTTCTTGGAATTAAGATGCATACTTGAAATTACCTGAAATCACCCCATTTTTTAGGTAGCTTAAAGCCCCCTTCACCCTTGCTGAGTCATTTCCAGCCTGTATCTCCTGCCTGTCTCTTGATCTAACTGGTGTGTGACAGTTACAAACAGACTCATATGCACATGTTTTACTGACTTTATTGCGATGTCTGCATGCCCCTGGAGCTATCTGGTATAGAGTTGGTCTTAGTAGACAATGATGCACTAGTTAGTCAATTGCTTCCCAAACTACAACGTCTAATTCCTCTGAGAAATTGTTCTTGTAGGCAGCTTTTCTGCCTCTTCTCCCTTCTCCCCAGGAATCAGAAGCCCCAAAGAAACCAGAGCATTTGGATATCTTACCCACCTGTGATTTTCTTGTCTCTTCTGCAGATGTGCTGGAAAGAAAGAATGACATAAACCTGATAAGGAGCAAAGAACATAAGCCAAAGCCTTCTAACTCTTAGCAGGAATTCTTGAAGTTTTCATACTAAAAATTCATGAATGATAGGTAGGGTCCCACCTGTCATATCCCCTCTGGGCCTTGTGAGAGGGCAGACTGTTGCCTTATCTTCCCAGTATCTTGGCTATTGTGGTAGCACTTCCAGAACTCTGAAGCATGGAACAAACCATCATTAAACCTTACCATTCTCTTCGATGCCTAATTGTGTCCACTTTTAATTCTTCACCTCACCTAACTTGTTTCCAGGTCCCTCCTGAGAAAGTACATTCAATTAGAAAACTGCTTCCTTTTTTGTCCTCCCAAAATGTGTTCTCTTTTTCCTTATGACCTCTGTTGGGGGTGGGGATGGGGATGGAAGGCTGAGGAAGAAATTGAAAGTTTTTGCCTATGCTTGACAGCACAGTTGAAGCTCATATTCCCAAATCAGTGCCAAAGTCACCGATTATTTATTTATTTATTTTTTGCTTAAACAACAGAGATTTATTTCCTCACAGTTCTGGAAGCTAGAAGTCAAAGATCAAGGTGCTGGCAAGTTCACTATGCGGTGTGGGGGGGCTCTCTTCCTGGCTTGCAACAGGTCACCTGTCCCACTGTGTGCTCTCACGACCTTTCTTCTACACACACAGAGACATGGTGAGCCCTTTAGTGACTCTTCTTCTCACAGGGATACCAAACCTACTGGATTAGGCCCCCACTCTATAGCCTCTTTCAACCTCAATTTGCCTCCTTAAGGACCTATTTCCAAGTACAGTCACATTGGAAGCTAGGGCTTAAAGTTAGGAATTTGGGGTGACACAATTTAGTTCACAACACTAGCACTAGATGAGAACCCTCAGGTAAGATACCTGTCTTTCTGACTGCAAGAAGTGGCTGAGGAGCAAGATGAGCGGGAAGACACCTGCAGGGAGCCTCACACAGAGAGTAGGGCTCTGCATGCAGCTCCCATTCTTTATTTTCTTTCTTCCTATTGTCAGTAGAAGATAATAAGGTGAGCTGAGGATCAAAGAGTTCATATAAATGCCAGGGGTTGCTTTGGAGCGTGAGGGAACTCAACAGACTTCTGGGGACTGGTCCAAGCTGGGATCTGGGATCTGGCAGAGCTTGCTGCCAGGAGTTTCAGGAGGAGTCCAGGCTCCATCCAGAGCCACAGGAGAGAAGCCAGTGCATCCATGAGTGCCCAGCTGCAGTCACCTCAGCAGCAATGCACCGAGGCTGGAGGCTGGTGTTCAGAGGCCACACAAGACAGGACCATGTACCAAAGGGAGTCAGCAAGAGCTAGCAGGGAAGAGGAGCAGACATATGAAGCCTCCCACTCCTGCTGACCACCACTGTATCTGCCAGCTGCCCTCACTTAACAGCCTCCTGTAAGTTTCCTCCTTCGTAATCCATCTCCTTCCAACCCTGGGATTCACATTGTAATGCCCTAACTCCATTTTGGCAGCAAGTCAGAGGGACTTGCTGTACGCAGGATTAGACAGGTAACTATCAGAAAGTAGCGAGATGAAAACAGGTGAAACTTGAGTAACCAATTTGATCTATCATCAAGTGAATTCTGAACAAACTCAGCCTGGGTCTCCTGGTTATGTGTAGACTTGTGTAGGGGTGACAGGTCAAAGTAATAAGCTGGAGGAGGGAAGAGTAGGTGATTACCTGTTGGAATTGTTTCAGGACCCCCGGTATGAGACCCTAAGAAGGGATTGGGGAAAAGGGGAAAGATGATGGAGGGAATATCATGTTACAGATCCCAAGAATCTTTACATTTCTAGCCTAGGGCTCCTGCTTATACAGTTCTTGCTATAAAAGAAGCAATGAATCTTTACGAGCAAGGGTGGGGAGGGAGGCAAGTAATTAAGGGATTCTGGGGACCCAGAAGAGGGCAAAAACTGAGCCCAAGATAACATTGAGCCTAACATAGCTGCAGTTAAAAGGAGACTCTTGATGAACATTGATTTAGGATAGCAGAATGGAAATCTCTGGAAGCTATCATATTAGATGGCTCCTGAACACAGTTTTGCTGGCTAGATTACTGTTTCTCCAAGGAACCTCAGGACAGCCCACTGTAAATCCAAGCCACACCCCTTATCCTGAAAACACTCTTCCTTTTTACTTATTGATACCTAATAATTATACCTATTAGTTAAGGTGGGAGGGAGCCTCACCATGGCAGACTGAAAATTCCCCAAGTGTGGGCTTTCCCAAATGCAGGAGGTCTGGGAGTGGAAAGAGGAATGATGTGAGAAATTCATATGCAGAATTTTCACGGAAATAATCTGCTGAGGCCCAGAGAGACGTACACTATATTAGCCTATAGTAGTGAGAATAGGTGCTGCTGCAAATTGAAATCTCAGGAGGCTTTTATTAGAATTTTTTTTTTGCATGTATGTACAGAATGAAGACGTAAAGAGTTAATAGTCTCATGACTCAATCATGCAGGTGGTCTTTTTATTATAAAAAAGATCAACAAGGTGAAGGATAATAAGGCACCAAATCATAGAACAATTCTTAAGGGTGGAACTAAATAGGTAACAAACTAGGTGCCTTAGGAGCTAGATTGTTTCAGCTAAAGGGTAATTTTTAATTGCCTTCAAACTCTGCTGATACCCTATTTCTGCTAAGCTGCTGATTTCTACCCAAATGTTCCCAAATAAGTTTCCTGTCTATTCTGCTGAACATTCTGTCCCCTTTTACCACAGTAGGCATACTGTGCAGGTGGAGTTGAGGCCTGGGCTATTCCTGCAAGTCCTCTGGAATGTCAGCCTGCATTATATTTCTACCCACATAACCTGAGACTCATATTCAGCAGATTCTGGCCCTCTTTTTTCACCTTAGGCCAAAGGAAGTGTGGGTTTTGAGTGGCTGGCCTTGATTCACCACTGTACAGGGCATAAAGGATATACAGAAAGTCAACCCCAGAATGAATTAATGTCCTTAGCTTGCATACCCAACCAATTTGTAGAAGAATTTCAATTGATGGCTACTTTCTAAATTAAAATGATGAAGATTTGCTATTGTCCCTTCACTGAGAAAACCGAGAAGGACACATGAAAGTCCCCATATTCCCAAACTAGGAAGCAAGTGCAGCCAAATGGAGAGAGATGGAAGACAGGAGACCATTGCTCTTCTAAGGATGCTAAGTATCATCATTAGCCCCATTTACCTTCTCTGCTGCGTGGATGTCATTTCTGCCTTTTGCTGTTGATACTGATAGGCATTCTGTGCCATTTGTTCTTGGACAGAAACAAAGGACTCTGGAACTGAAGATGGAGATAGCACCAGGCCCTGGAGAAATGTAAATGAATAGAGGGAAAAGACAGGCATATGATGACAAGAAAAGCATTTATCCACCAGAGAACTATCAGGACAGTTGTCTCAGTGAATGTGTGTGTGTGCATGTGTGTCTGTGCATGCATGTGTATATGTGTAAAGAAAGATAAGGGTAAGAGGAAGAAAGTGCCTGTCTCAGGTAAAATCTTATTGCCATTGCCAACAGTAGCAGAAATTCTAGTGATAAAGTGGGTGAAAAAAAGAGGGACAATCTAAAAACAAACAAACAAACAAGCTGGCTGGGATTGGGGTAGAGGGTTGGCCAGAGACTCCTTGAGTTAAGGGTGGCTTCAAAGGCAAGGATAGAAAACAGTGGATAGTGAATTCAATATTGGCAAAGACCCCACCCCATCCCACCTCATAGAATTTTCATGGTAAGCTAAGGGTGGAACTTCAAGCTGGAAGCCAATCAGCTACAGCCTTCAAGTGCTTTGTAGAAGCAAAATACCATAGTTGATACTATCAAAGACACATGGACCTGGGAGGCCATAGCAGTGACTCAGACAAAAGACAAATCTTTGAGAATTCTCTCTCTCACTTTTCCCACTCCCATCCTTCCAGACTTCCAAACCCCAGTAATAAACCAAGCCAATTATAGCCAGAAACTTACCCAGCTGGGCTCCTCAAATCACACTTCACCCCTCCCCTTCCCCCTTACTTTCTCCTCTCAGAGCCCCATACCCCAACAACCCCCTACTCCCCATATCAACCTTGTCCTTTCCAACATTCTGTGACCTCAGCTGTGACCTCATAGACCTGGGACAACTGGCCCTTTCTCCCAGTCTTACTATGCACTCCATTTCTTCCAAATAATAATGGTAAAATAAAAGGACAATACTTTGACATTCAAATTTCTGGCAACTTTTGCTTCCTTGTTGTCCTCTACCCATAGCATTAGACATCCCTTGATTCTAAGAGATGGCAGGAGTGATAAATATAGATACACTTATCTTCAACTTTCAAGAGCTAGGTCCATGAGAAAGAAATAGTTTTGTTTTGAATTCCAAAAGTCTTTGACTTGGAAGATCACCAAATATGGATCTAAAACCTTAGATCCCATCATGGATCTAAAACCTTACAAGTATGAAAATAGTTTCTCTGAAGAAAAAAAAGTGAGGAGTGCTGAAAATGAAGCAGGAAGTGAACATGAGAGAAGAGATAAGTTAGGTGTAGGTGTGCAACTCTGGGAAGGCACACTAGCCCATCCCTGGTTCTGACTTTAGAGCTGCAGATACTACTAGTGAGACTAGCACAGCTCTTCCCTTGTTACTATTGTGAATGCTTAAAAGGTAAGTCCTGGCCTGCCTCCTTTCAGGTTCTCAATTCAGTCCGCCAACGTGTGTATAAAGGGCTGCCTCACAGCACAGCTTTCATAAAGCTTGTCAATCTTGTGACTTAGGCTTTCGTAACCATGTCTGGATGTGGCAAGGGCAGGAAAGGCCTTGGTAAAGGTGAAGCCAAGAGGCACTGTAAAGTACTGCGTGACAACATCCAGGGCATCACCGAGCCCACGATCTGGCATCTGGTCGGCTGGGGTGGAGTTAAGCGTATTTCTGGCCTCATCTATGAGGAGACTGGTGGGGTCCTTAAAGTGTTTCTGGAGAACGTCATCCAGGATGCTGTTACTTATACTGAGCACACCAAACGCAAGTCACCGCTGTGGATGTGGTGTATGTACGCTGTATAGTTTTGGTGGTTAAGTATGTTCTCGTTTCTGTTTCCAACCAAAAGGCCCTTTTCAAGAAAAAAAAGAAAAGAAAAGAAAAAAGATGTCACAAGAAGAAACTGTGATTACATGTCAACCACTGTCAACCCTCAAAGAGATTAGGCCCATTCCCTCAGATGTCTTCAAACTGTGGCCACGGCCACATGTGGCCTGCCTAGGACATTTATCCAGCCCGCCGGGTGTTTTTGCCGCCGCTGCCTGTCCTGCTTAGCAGCCGACTCCTCCCGAAGCCTGCAGTCTGGCCCTCCGCGCAATGGTCTGAGGGACAGTGAACTGGCCCCCTGTTTTAAAAGTTTGAGGACCCCTTATCTCAGTTTCAATAAAGAGTCTAATAAATGAGTTCCTTCATTATCCCTCATCATACTTTTTTTTTTAATGGCCAGATATATCTCATAATCTGACTCAAATTCCTGCCTCTCTCTAAACAACTCCAAATATTTCACTATCCAAAATTGAATTCTTAATTCCACCCCACCCCCAAACCTGTCCCTTCCCTCACATGAAATGGTGCCACTATTCATTTACCCAGTTGCTCAGGGAAAAAACATTGAAATCATCATTAAGTGCCACTTTTTCTCTGTTACATCAAATATAGGTATTGGCTGTATCTTCACAGTGTATCCTGTGTACTCATTTACCTCCTGGACTACTGCCAAAACTTCCTGGTTGGCTTATTCTTACCACGTTGCTGCAGCCAGAATGATCATTTAAAAATGCATACAGATCACATCACTTCCTTCCTCCAAACCCTGTGGTCCCTTTGCATCATACTTAGGACAAAGTACACACTGTTTCCATGTCCACGCTTGCCCCTTGTATATCATTCCTGCCCCCTCCACTCCCCCCTGAACAATACATCCCCACTGCTATTCTGCTATAGTCACCCTGGCTTCTTTCTCTTCAGGTGGGCCAAGAGTGCACTTCTGTCTCAGGTTTTTCCTCCTTGCTCTCTCTTCTTCTCCCAAACATTTGCTTGATTTCTCAGTCAATGACGTATCCTTAGGGAGACATTCTTATATCCTGTGCCTAAGGCAGCAGCTGCCACCACTTACTAGTCCTTTACTCTGATTTATGTTTCCTTTCATCACCATCAGACATTACCATATAATGTAGTTTAGTTTGTTTCTTTCATCTCACAGAGTGTTAGTTCCATGCGAGCTTTTGTCTTAATCACTTTTGATTGTATATACGGTGCCAAGAACTATACCTAGAAAATAGAAGGAACTCACATGTATATTGAATAAATGAGTCAATCAACAGTGAGACCCCTGGGGTGGGACATGCATTATTATCCCAGGGCAGTGATGAGGAAATGCATCCCCCCTGCTACCATGACATCACTTCTCTCTGCAGACAGACTTTGCCTAGAGAAAAGGGAATTAGGAGGAGAAAAATACTTAAGTCGTCATAGTTCTACACACACAGAGAGACTAAATTGGGACTTCGGCTTTGAGAACTTTATTGAGATATAATTGCCCATACAATAAATGACACATATTTGCTAAGTTTGATCATATGTATACACCCATGAAATCATCAATAGTTCTGGGTTCCCTTTTCCATAGGTCAATGTGTCTGTTTTTATAACAGAACCAATCATACTGCCATGGCTGCAATAGCTTTGTAATATATTTTGAAGTCAGGTAGTGTGATGCCTCCAACTTTGTTCTTTCTGCTCAGTATTGCTTTGGTTATTTGGGTTCTTTTGTGCTTCCATACAAATATTAAAACTATTTTGTCTTTTTCTGTGAATAATATAATTGCTATTTTTATAGGAATTGCATTGAATCTGCAGACTGTTTGGGGTAGGATAGTCATTTTAAAAATATTAATTCTTCTAATCCATAAACATGGGGTGTTTTTCCATTTGTTAATGTGCTCTTCAAATTGTTTTTCATTAGTGATTTGTAGCTTTAATTGTAATGGTGTTTCACCTCTTTGGTTAAATTTATTTTTACATATTTTCTCTTTTTTCATAGCTACTGTAAATAGAACTGATTTCTTTTATAACTAGTTTGTTATTGATGTATAGAAATGCTACTCATTTTTATGTTGTTTTTGTATTCTTCAACATTACTGAATTCACTTATTAGTTCTAAGAATTTTTTGGTGGAGTCTTTAGGTTTTTCTATGTATATGATTATGTTATATGCAACAAGGGGAAGTTTGACTTTCTCTTTCCGGTTGGTTGCCATTTTTTTTTCATGTCTTATTTTTCTGGTTAGGACTTTCAGGACTATATTGAATAAGGATGATGAAAGTGGTTGTCCTTGTCTTATTCCAATCCTTAGAAGAAAGGCTTTCAGATTTCCTCCATTCTGTATGATGTTATCTGTGGGTTTGTCAGATGTGCCTTAAATATATTGAAGTATATTTCTTCCATGCTTACTTTTTGAAGTATAAAAATGTATGAAAATACATTCTCATCAGTGCATGGAACATTTTCGATGATAGACCATATATTAGGGCTCAAAACAAGTCTCAACAAATTTTTGAAAATTGAAATGATATCAAATATCTTCTCAGAACACAATAGGATAGAACTGAAAACTAATACCAACAGGAACTCTGGAGACTTACAAATACATGCTTTCTAGCAATCAGAATAGACCCAATTGCCCCTTGGACTTTGAGGTCGCACTTTGCTTGGGATGATGCCTGTTCAGTCCTACTCAGATGAAGATAGGATGGATAAGATAAATCTCTTGCCTGGTAATTTTTTGCACAAAATCTGTATTTATTATATATAATATGGTAAATGTTGTTACTGCCTGTTCAGTTTATCTTTGCCATTCTTCTAGTAAATAAACTCCACTGTTCAATATGCTTCCAGAGAAACTGATGCCCCATCCTCACTCCCACCCTGGCTCATTATTCACTCATTCTTCCTGGCACAGTGGCAGGTCTAGGAATGAGCACATAGTCAATGCCAGATTATTCACTTTATTAGGAATTTTAATCCTCAAGATTCAAAGAGGGAGAGGTAGCCATTCTGTCTGCAGCACTCTCACAACCTAAGCACGTGCTGAGAGGATCGCTGGAGTTATTCTACATGCTATCTTTTCACAGCCAGATTTAGAAACATGAATCATAATGAGAGCATCACTAGGTATTTGCATCATGTTAGGCACTGGTGCTAAGCAATTTACATACATTATCTGACTTAAATATCACAACAAATGCACTAGGTAAATGCTTTAGCTATCCCTATTTCAGAGAAGAG